ACGCGCTGGAAGGCATTTAGCAGGGAAAGCCGTGCCTCTCATTTAAGGTTGAAGAAGCCTCAGGCTGTAGGGCCTCAAGACCGGGTTCTTGGGGCGGGCTGTTCGGATCCCTTTGTCCTGCAGCTCTTTTCAAGCTGCACCTGACATTCTTTGCTTTGAGCGGCCACCTTAGCAATTCAGGTTGCTGCATTCGAGCCAGCGGGAACTTGAGGTCCAGTTGGTGCCAAGAACCATGAAGCATGCCGGTGGCCCTCCTTCTTGCGAGTGATGCTGCGCGATGTATCTTAATCGGGTACAGGATCGTCCCCTTTCAGCTCGAATTACCGGGCCGATGCATTTTCCCATTTGCGGATGTCTGCAACGGCTGCTCGAGGCGCCGGATCAGGCCCTCCACGCGTTGAGCGTCAAGGCGAGCAGCCCTGTATGCAAGTTGCAACCTTGCACAAAGTAGTGCCGAGGCCCTGCAACAGAGCTTCCCTCTGCAGCTAAAGAAAAAGATAGTCAGGCAGTAGCGTGCACCTCTTTCGCTTGGCCGCTAAGACTTTGTCTTGTCCGTGGCCTTTGTCGGAGGAGGCTTGCAACTTGAACCCCTGGCACTGCAAGGCTGTGAAGAGAGCGTGGGCCGCTGTGGGCTGCAGTGGCCCTTAGCTCGCGGCTGTCGCAGCACATGAGCTTCGTGGCTCTGCACTTGACGGCCCTCGATGGTGGCGGAGGTGCACTGCGCCGATCGCTTGCTACGTGGAGCCTGTTCCCGAAGTGACTGGCATGCCGGCATCTTCGCTGCTGGACTGCGCTTGACTGCCCAGCTCAACGAGCTGCGGCCGTGCTTGCACTCAAGACGCGAATTCGACGGCTCAGCCACCGAATCTGCTGGCATCCACTGGTGCACGTCTCAGGTGGCGCAGCGACTGCGGGCTTTTGCGGGATTGAGCATGACCCTGCCAGGTGTACTGCACACCCCGCTTCTCCCTCCGCTTTTTCTCCACCTCCACTGGGCTTGTGCGGCCGTCCTCACAAGTGAGCGGGTCAGAGAACCACCTCGCAGAGTTCAAACGTCTTCTGTTCGGGCAAAACAATGTGTTCAACTCCGAGCTTCCCGGAAGCGCACGGGCTGCAGTGGCAGTGGCTGAACAGGCTGAAGCGACGCCGTGGCATACAGGATTCCCAGCCCTTCCAGCCCAGGACAGGAGGGTGGCCATGTACATCCCAAAGAGAAGGCGCTAGCTTCTGTGTTTCTGTTGGCCCAGGAGCGTCCTCTGTCCATTACGTCGGCGTTGCATCTCTGGTGCTTAAAGGCTCCGTGATGGCCCCGGACACGCCCATAAGTTGCCCATAAGTCATACCTGCCATTTCTTCATGGCTTCCCCGCAAACCTTCAGCCCTGATCCAATGGGGCCCCCACGACGGGGCCCCAATAAGGCCCAATAGGACCCTCCTAGTCTAGAGGTCTACAAGGCTCAGGGTGGGGCCCTCACATCTCCCATTGCTTCCCTGCCGAGCGTGAAATCGAGCCCTCGTCATTGTTGGAGCAAAGCTCAGAGGTTCCAATCCCAGAAGCCGCACTNNGCTTGCTTAGTCCGGTAGTCTTCCTTGGCCTCAGCCTCTAAGATGGGATGGCTGCCGTACGACCGAATGCGTCACGCCCAATAGGACCCCGCCTAGTTTAGAGGTCTACAAGGCTCAGGGTGGGGCCCTCACATCTCCCATTGCCTCCCTGCCCTGCCGAGAGTGAAATCGAGCCCTCGTCATTGTTGGAGCAAAGCTCCGAGGTTCCAATCCCAGAAGCCGCACTAAGGGCTTGCTTAGTCCGGTAGTCTTCCTTAACCTCAGCCTCTAAGATGGGATGGCTGCCGTGCGACCGAATGCGTCACCGCTGAGCAGGGGCCGCATGCCCCGCGTGGCCCGCGGCGGGAGCTCGAGATGGCCTTCAGGGCCTTCGGCATGGTTTCCGCATCTTTCCAGCGCCCAGTAGCCGAGCTTTCCAGGAACCGAGCCACGGCCAGGCAGGGCACCTGCAGCCCTTGCAGCTTTCTCGCTGTGCTTACAGCCCTTGCGTCAATGGGTGTCTTAGCGCGTTCTGCCCGGCCCTCAGAGAGCTCTGCAGAGGTGGCACAATAGCCCTAGCCAGCGCATCCCGGGGGATGGAGTCGGTGATGAGCAACCTGAGCACTCCTCGAGCGAGTCCTCGAGCGAGAAAAGCAAAGCCGGGCTCCATGATTCGGCTCCTACGTTCTGACGTTCTGTGATTCTGGAGCTGCAACAACTTCGGCTCCATGCTCGCGTCCACGTCCATCGAAGTACTCGGACTCCAAGTCAGGAATGTCACAAAGTCCTCCTGACGTCTCTCATCCCTCGTGCCCGCATCGGGAAGGTTTGCCGGGAGTTTGCCCAGGCACCTTCTCGTGCCAGCGATTTGGGCTCAATCAATTGCTAGACAGCTCTCTTGTTTGGCTTGGCTCGGCCGATCCTTCAGAGAGCGCGGCGGCTGAGCTCCATGTTCTCCGACCATCCGTACAGTTGTCCGTTCCCTTTATCTTGCGCGAATTCACGTGAAAAAAGCTATTAATCCAGGAATGCCTACTGAGCGCATCTGGGCGCTTCGTACTTGAATAGGCCCAGGATCAGCCAGTCCGAGTCGTGAGCCTTTCGTTGCCTGAAGGCGGTGTCCGCAGGCTCAGGTTGCCCGGCGCCTATGGTGAGGACCTCCACAAAGCGCGCCTATTTGGAGAATAGCTTGTGCTGACTTGTGCTTCTGCTCTTCTGCCCTTGAGCGCCTCGATGGCTAGAGGTGCATATTCACAGGTTCATCCGGGACAAGCCCAGATCAAAGTAGCCGTTTCGCAGGCTTCGTGCGCATGGGGCTGCCGTGCCGTTCCCGCCGCAGTGTCAGAGTCAGAATCTTTGCGCCCCTTGAGCTCCCACTGTGCCATGCAGCTCAATGCATCCAAGCCTCTCCCGTCTCTTCGCACCCTTGTTGTGAACTCTCACCTTGCTCCTTTTCCTTGTCGTTGAGCTGCGTTCGGATCTGGGCGTGCTCCTGTCTGAGCAACCTCAAGACGCCGCCTCTGGCCTGTTCCGTCGCATCAGCAAGATCCGATTTCAACTGGCTGATTTCTGTTCAGGCGGGTCGACGTGTCGGGAAACTCTCCACAGAGAAACTGTTTCAAAAACTGTTTCAAAAAGCGAAAGCGAAAGCCAAATACGCAACAGAAATCACACACTCTTACACACCTTCCTCTTTGCGCGCCAGACCGTTCTCCCGCTCACTCAACTTCCGCTCACAAAGTGACTTCGCCTTGATTTCGGATCGAAGGTCGGAAAGGGCGCTGAGCATGCTGGGTACAGCGGCCCGCGAACGAGACAGCCTTCTCAGGCTGTGGGCAGATGTCGATGTCGGGGAGCGGGGACGCGTACGATGTCCGCGGCCGCGACTTCGCCGCGCGTGGCTTCGTGTTCTGGACGTTGGAAGGAGCCGTGCAGATTGCATCGGGCGCGGAGTCTGATGAAGTTGTATTTTTTGGGGGTGGCTGGCTCGAGCGTTTTTCCCAAGGGTGCACTCTTCGATGGCATGACAAGGGAGTGACGCTGTCGAGTGAACGGGGGCTCGGCGACTGATGTCTGATGCCACATTGATTGCATGACTCGGAGGAGAAGAGGAACATAGAGGAACAAATTCAGCTGGCGCCTCGCTTGACCTGGACCTAACTGGTGCGAACGGGTCGATGCTCTGAGAGGCACCGTCGATTTGGCAGCTGCAGGGAGGCAGAATGATCATGAAGCCAGCGGCTTTTTGTTCTGCTTCCCCGTCACCCTTCTTCGCGCCTCTTACCTCGATTTGCACGTTTGGTGTATCCATGGATGTGTGACTTTTGCCACTGCTAATCACACAACAGGAACCTCAGGTGGCACGCGCCGATGAACTCCCGGTCCGTTTGGTGAATGCCAAGCATGACCTGGCAAGCCACCAGCGGCTTTCTTCAGCTTCAGGCTTGGTGACTGCAGTGATTCGATGCCACGGTAGCCACGGCAGGCCCCTTAGTGCAGAGGTGGCAGTGCAGAGCCACCGCGCCGCCAAGGCAGCGTCACAGAGGTGTGGGGGTGGTGCTCCCTGGCTGCTGGCCAGACTTGCTCCTGCATTGCCCTGCGTTGGCTTTCCACACAATCTCGAGTCTTCCAGGCTCTCCGACTAGGCATCACCCTTCTGACGGTCATGCAGTCATGCACCATCAATGTTGGCTTTCCAGAAAATCTCGAGGCCTCCAGGCTCCGAGCGCTTCCAGGGCATCGCGCTTCTTGAGATTGTGGACCGAGGCTCTCCCACTGCAAGTGCAACATGGTAACATGATTGGGAGGCAGGCGAAGGTACTGTGATACTGGCCTGGTCTCTTTGACTCTTCAGGCCTTTGCGATGCCTCGTTCGTCCTGAGCTTGGCTCTGTGCTCCCATCTGCTCCCACCCCACAATGCAGTCCTTTAGCCACAACTTGCCGGTGGCAACTGTATTCGTGAGTCCCACATTCCTACCTCTATAGGTCGTGATTGGATGCGAGCCCGTTGTGGGCATCACCCTTCTGACGGGCATGGATCCTTGGAGATCATCGGTCTCCTCTCAGGAGACGCTCGCAGTCACATAGAATATAGCGCCCCTAAAACGGCACCTCTCCAAGGCACCCTTCCGAGGCGTGCTCAGCCCATTTGCCCATCAACCCACTTGCCCTCAGTGTGGACTGCAGTGACTGGTGACCTGGCCCTGGCCTACATCTCGGCCTCGGTCTGCCGCATGACATGCGCAACGCTGTGCCAGGACGGTTTGAGGGTCGCTGCGGTACGCGTCTTGAGGAGGAGGAGCACCGCAGCTCGACACCCAGTGTCCTGTCGCAGTCTCTTCGCAGTCACAGAGCCTGCCGGGTTACGTAACTCACTTGAGAAATGCCTGGGGGAGAGGCAGCATGCCATTCGTGTCGTGCACACCGTGCGTTTCCATGGACCCTACAAGCACTTTCATTGAAGCCTGTGCTTCTCGCTTCGAGCAGATCGAAGCAGTGAAAGCGAAGACTTTCCGTGGTCGGCTTCGCGAGCTGAAGCAAGGCCCTTGCCTTGTATAAACACGAAGCTCTGAAAGCTCAAACATCTGCCGCTTGACCTGTGCAACTTGGGCCAAAGCTCAAGACTCTTTCCTCCCACAAGTCCCTTTGCAAGCACCGGTGGCAGGGAAACACTTTCATTGAGCTGCAAATAGGCGCAACTTTCCAAAGCTTGGCGGATGGCACCTAGCCGCCTCCCGAGCCCATCGGTTGGAACTGACGACCTCGGCAAGTCGCCCAGAGGGCCCAGGCCCCGCCCTGGAAGCGGAAGACAGCGTAGCAGCATAGCAGTGTCTTCTTGTAAACGGTCTTGGCTTTCCTGTCCTCACCCTTGTGGCGGGCAACATGCATCCGTTGGATGCCTCAGCCTTAAGACTGCAAGACCGCAATGCTTCGCAAGGACATCTGGATGCACGGGGCAGCGTAGGACAGGTAGAATCCAGCCGTACTCTTGAAACCGATGAAGGCAGATATTCTGAGCGCTCTGTGTCGCTGATTGTCGCTGCACGAGGAAGCTCAGTTCAAAGCCGTTCAGGCAGGGCTGGATGATAAGTTAAGGGTTGTGTCCCAGGCCCGAACAACGGCCATGCGCCATGCATCCCCTCCTCCATTGGGGAGGCTTGCAATGCTCTGCACACTTCAAAGCCACGCGGGCATGATCTGTTCAACGGCCGTTGGCCAAATCGGCCACCTGGCGAGCCTGTTCACATCGAACGGCGGCGGAAGTTAGGTCCTGCTGTGTTTTTGTGTGTTTGCGCTTGAGCAGTATGAAAAATCAGGCGTGTGCGGAATGACTGCTACCAAGACTATTGTTTCACAAACACCTTCCCTACCTCTGAGGGCGGTGCGAGGACAAAACAACACGAGGGGTGGGGAGGGGCACAACACGTGCAGACATGCTGATAGGCATTCCTTGCCACAAGCACGTGTTTGCGCGTGCGCCCCTTGCGAAACTCTGGTCGAGGATCGATAGGTCTTCCAGCTCAGTGCTTGGCATCTTCGCAGCTCCCAAGACCGAGGCCGGTCGGGTAGGGATTGCCGCTGTAGTTGGAGAGCTTCCAAAGCCTTCCAGACTTCCAGACCCTTTGCGAGCTCTTCAGCTTCCCCCAGGGACTCATCGATACTCGAGAGGGTCCGTCGGCTGACCAAATCGGCACCAGGATATCCAGGATCGATGATTGTGAGCTAGAGTTGTGTGTGTTGAGCTGAGGCCCTCAACTTCCACGCGAGTCTGAGTGGTTCAGTGATAAATCCTGGCAGCGACCCTTACGTGCATACTACACAGATCGCCGGTCTCGGGAACCAGAAAAGAAGGGTCGGTTTTGAACGATTGGGAGGTGTTTGACAAATAGATGGCCTACAACTTGGAGGCTGGGATCTGTTGACTTGAGTAGCCAGGAGTTTCATTGACACACGGCCGGTGGAACGAGCTGTGCAAGGCCGTCCCATCAGCACAGATCGAAAAGGCAGACTCGGCAGCGAATAGACCCGTTTACTTGCAATCTTTGTCGACTATCCTCACTATCGCCTCCGTCACATCCTTGGTCTTCGGCCTGCTGCGAGAAACTGCGTCCAGCAAGGGACGGCTCATGGCCACGTGCCAGGGCTAAGCAAAGCTGAGACGCACTATCACAGACCTTCCTTGGTGATATGTTCTTGTTGATGAGTCGCAGGCCGGACATGAGGAAACACAGAGGCTCGCCCTTCGGCTCCCTGCGCGAGGCATCCGAGACCTTCGCCGGCCCTTCTGCGCCTTCCCCGATCTTGTCGCAGGGTGTGCTCCTGGAGCTTTGTGACGGGAGTTCTTGGAGAGCTAGATAGGGCCCCAACTACGAAAGCCCTCGATAAGCTTCTTAGACCCTAAGGCCCTAAGATAGCTGGTCCTCTTTGACGCAGCCTCCAGCGCAACCTAGGGCTTGATCTGCAAAGCCGGCTATGCAACGGCGGCTTTCAGGAGACTAGGAAAGCTTAGTCTTTCTCTGAAGGAGAATCTGGAAGGAAGCCGAGTAGCCGAGGATGCCTGCGTTTTTGCAGGCGGCGTGCCATGGTCGTTCTATGTTGGGTCACTTGAGTGCGCTGCGACTCCGAGCAGCTTGCGCAGAGTATGAGGAGCATGCGGAGTGTGCGGTTAGTGCAGAGTGCAAGGGGTGGGAGGAGTGCGAGGCACATCCTCGAAGAGCCCGACCGCCTAAGCAGGCGGAATCGCGCAGGCTGATGGAGGCGCATTGCTGGGTGGGCAGTCACGCATCACCGACAGAAGTGACAGTTACGGGATGCTTTGCCTGGATTATATGCACCGCGTGCAAGGATCTTTCGCCCTTTGTGGTTGTCTGGGATCTACACGTAAAGCCGCAGCTGCCAGAACGGGCTTGCTCTGCACGGCCTTGCTCCAGATCTCTTCAAGGTTGTGGCCCGTCTGATTGGGGCAGAGGTGCTCGAGAGTATCCCGGTTTCATCACCCTCGTAATCTCCATGGCAAGCTCCCGAAATCGCTGCCAGTGCACAAAAACCATAGCACTTTGGGCCGCGGCTGTGCCTCGAGCTTTTCAAGCCTTGCAGCCTTTCGACATCATGGAAGGTTTTCCGGAAGACTCGGCTTAAACACATCCAGCACTTCCTTGTCCGCTTGTCACTGCACGCAAAGCAACACGGGCGTAGGGTTCCTGAGCCCGCTTCTGTAGAGTAGGGTTTCGGGTGACATCCCGCGCAATGTGTAGCAGGGCAGTGCTGCCAGTGCCTTGGACACCCGCAGTTGCTTTCGCCGCGGTCCGATTGGTCCGTCATCAAACTGGAACTTGAGCTCTGGGGCTTAGCCAGCTCACTATCACAGCTGCCATCCTTTTTGCCCTTGCTGGCCTCCTCTTGCTCTCAGCCGACCCCTGCTGCGTCCCTGCTCCGCTCCGACATGCCACTTCCGCGTCGAAACTCCACGCCGTTGCTCGCGAGGGCGGCTTTCTTCTCTACTCTCTTTGCCCTACAGCAGTAACCAGCCCCAAGCAAAAGAAAGGCACTGACGCGCAGCTCTTCTTGACGAGCAGGTGCCCCTGACCCATCTTAGCCGCGCGGCTAACGCCGAAGAGAAGCTATTGATGGTGCCCTTGCTGGACTCGGGAATCTTCCATGGCAGAGTCACGTGGGCAATTTTTGAGGGTGCACTCCCAACAAAGCAAGGAGTCCAGGGAGGCCCTAGCCTCGGCCTTTAAGGCTTTAAGGAGTTACAGGCCTCAGAGGCCTCATACATAGACCTTCGGGTAGCTTCCTTTTCTGCCAGCGAATGAGGCCCGGGCTTCCTGCTGAATGTGGAGTGGGTCGCGCCGTAGCCATTCACACGCCTGGGCTGCGAGGGACCGCAGAGAGCGCTCAGTGGCCCACCTTTCAGTGCCGCTGCGCCCTTTCGAGGGGAAGGAGCTAGGGAACAAGGTGTACTGCTCAAGGAGTACAACGGGAAGGAAGTAGGCCGAGAAAGATCAATGCAAAGGAGCGTCGCATCCCTGCAGACGTGACGCAAGCAAGACGAGCTCCAGTTCTTGCCGCAAGTCTTCGAGGTTCATTGCTGGCCTCGCGGGCCTCGATTGGCACATCCGATGTTCTCGCCTTGCCACAGTCAAGTTTTCAACGCTCGGTGCACTCGAGGTTTAGATCACTTTGCCACGTGCTAGCTGCAGTGGGCAAAGCTAAGGGATTGGACCACTCCTCTGCGGCCCTGGCTGATGCTCCGGTTGCAGATGCAAGATGCAGCATACAAGGCCCGCCTCTGCGCAGCGCATCGGCTGCAAACGACACTGCCCACGGTTGTGCGGAGTCCTCATGCTGAAAACGGGCAGATAGTCGTATCCCGAATACGTTTGGCCCAGGGTTTTCGTTAAGGGTGCTTGACAAGGGCAGACAGCAGACTGCACAAGAGTCTGGCATTGCCATCTCCTCGCAGCATCGACACTTCGTCCCAGGCCGCGCCAAACTCATTGGCATTCCTTGTCGCACAGAGCCCGCGAGGAAGCTTCACCATACCGTGCTGAAAAGACGTCACTTCCGATGCCGCGCGTGCCTTTCATCCTAGTGAGACCCGCCTCTCAGTTGCTTGCGGGCAGCGTGCTGGTGTCGCAGACAATCATCGACCAAAGAGAGCACCGGGCCTAATTTCGGGAATACCGTGCGAGGTCCATGTGGACTTGAACGGACTCTCAGATTTGCCTGTGGCGAATGTACTCCGGCTGCAGCTCGGCATATGCGGCGCGAACTTGGTGTCCTCGATGATTTGAGCACGGGCAGAGCACAACAGCCCTCCTTGCAGCCCAAAGTGCACTGTTCAATGACAGCAAGTATAGGCCGAGAACATTCGAGAACGATCAACAAAGGATCATCCAGCTCCAGTTCTTGCCGCAAGTCTTCGAGGTTCATTGCTGGCCTCGCGGGCATCGATTGGCACATCCGGTGCTCTCGCCTTGCCACAGTCAAGTTTTCAACGCTCGGTGCACTCGAGGTTTAGATCACTTTGCCACGTGCTAGCTGCAGTGGGCAAAGCTAAGGGATTGGACCACTCCTCTGCGGCCCTGGCTGATGCTCCGGTTGCAGATGCAAGATGCAGCATGCAAGGCCCGCCTCTGCACAAGACACAAAGTCTAAGGAGCCTGCTGCATGCAATGCCCAGACCCGCACGCCCACACAGCTGTTGCACGAGGCCTTCCCGTCGCCTGCACGTAGCCTGCACCCAGAGCGCTGCTCCCGGTCTCGCCTGATTTGAAAGAGGTCTCCCGGATCTCCCTAAAGGCCCCCGGCGAGGCCCCCCGGTAAGGTCGGTGTCCGTTCTTGGATCTTCCCTCATCGCGGTTCCGGTTCCGGCTGCGAAGTGGATGCTTGCGAGCTGCGATAAGCCAGAAGCATCCGACACTGCATGATTTCGGAGGGCTCCCTCGGCAGGCTGTCAGAAACCAGGTTTTCTGGCTTTCTCTTTCGCTGTTGCTGAACGTCAGCATGGCGCCCTCATTAAACCTTAAGCGAGATGGAAGCTCTTTTTGCACATTCTTCTGAGTGTGGCTTGATCCAGGTCGCCAGCTCAGAGCCCTGAGAGTACTGACGGCCAATCGCTCCGTCTTCTCCATGAAGACAATTCCTAATGATGACGGGCTTGTGACGCCCGTGCTTCCACGTGCTTCTTTTGTCGTAGAATCGGAGAAGCGGCGCGTAACGGTTCATGGATCAGCTCCGGGCTTCGTTATGGCGTGATGCCAGGCTTGAAGCTGCCATTGGGGCCAGCGAGGCTCCGCTGTCCCGACCATGCACGTGGCT